AATGTTACTTTCGTCCCCAAAACATATGAACATTGTCTCAGAGGTTTTAACCTCGTTTTTTTTATGATAGTCGTTCAGTAAATTAACGTCATGAAAATATACCTGAAGCGGCGTGATCTATTGAATTTCATATCCTCTTTGTGTTCTTCGAACATCTGTTAGTGTATTTTAAAGCAACGTTCAAAAGCAATTACGATAAAGCATCTCCTTGTTTGAGACTATTGTGAATAAGAAGTGCCACATATAAAAACCTCGATTTCAAGACGCCATAAAGTGTAAGACGCGCCTCGATTTCAAAACATTTAAATTTCGAAAAGAAAAACGCGCATGAATATCGAGAAAAAAAATTGCAATATTTGTACTGACGTCTCTTTTGGTTTCGTTTAAATAAGTTTCACTTGGCTTGATACCTGATGGCAGACGCCCTGATGATGGAGGCAGGAAGGACTTGTGAAACATAGATAAATTTCTGCCACACTACACGGCGTTACGAACAAGAAGATAGCCTTTCTACGTTTTAATTAGCCTAATTACGTTTCATTGGCACACCTAATCAGTGAGAATCTTGTGGCCGGTATTTTTGACGTAAATACGTCTATATTTTAGGGTCAGTGTCATTCGGCAAAAATGTAACGAAAAAGTGTTAAGAAAAAGGGAAACGAAAAAGTGTAACTTTATTGTTATGTTACCTTGGAAACGTCATCTGTTTATCAATTTATAACTTGTGCTGGGCAAGACCGTGATCTAGGCAACACGGAGTTTTCCTTCGGGGGCTTCCCCGGTTTCTCCGTGGCATTCCAACAATTACTCCATTCACACACAGAAGAAGGCAATGGCAAACCACTTCTGGATCATCTGCCAAGAACGTATATGAACAGGTCCCAGTCCGAGAAAAGGATAGAAGGATCCTGTTCATATGGACCTGTCCTCAGACAGAACACTAAATAATAATAAGATGACGTGGTCTAGCGGTTAGAACGCTGGCCTTGTAATCCTGGGGGGTCTCGGGTTCGATTCCCGGCGATGCCCGATAACTGAATCATAGTTGTTTCTTGTAGTCTGTAAATAACTGAGTACTGTCAAATTGAATTCCTAGTTTTTGCGCATTATCACGAATATAGAACGTTCGATCAGTACTTCATTGATTACGATGAAGGGTTATAAAGTATCTTTTAATTACTCGTGTCGGTCGAAATGCATTCTGTTATTGCCGACAGTTACTGCAGCTGCTTGGTCATGTATAATTTGTGTTGTTTAAAAGCAGCTTTGCTGTTGACGGGACAAGTCGTTTACATCGATCTTCTCAAACACCGGTTATGTCGGACCAGAAGAGCCCTAGCGCTTGTAAACGAGTTATCTCGCCCGTAGCAGTGAAGCAGTCGATGGTGAATTTGTGAGTTATGTAAAGATAAATAATTTAAATGTCTATTAAGTGTGTTTCAAGAGTCATAGGTCTGTTCGATTTTGATTTTAGTCTATTAGTTGGATAAATTTTGTGGAGTTTAATGCGTCGGCGAGTGTTTCATACGCGGTGAAATGTCCCTTGGGCCATATTTGTGTATAGATTTCGCGTGGGGGCACAACGGGTGTCCCCTGGTGACAACAGAATAAGTTCACACCTGTTGTTTAAGTGATGTGACTAATATCAGGGGCCAGGAAATACGATAAAACGCAAATTGGTTCATTGACGTTCTTTGCAGTAATATTAATAGACTTTGTCCAAACAAAATTAGGTCAACTGAAACAAAAAATTGAATGTTAATTTGGAGCAGTGGTCATAATTACTCAAACAAAAGGGATAAAATTAAACTCGTTCACTTTTATTTTGAGTTGGGAGTAGGAGAAAGTAATTGTTTGTTTCCAGCCGACATGAATCTCTTTGTACGCATGCGTGTTAAATAAATACCGATTCTGTAAGCAGAAAATAACATCTGTTAAGGATTTGCTAACTTACTGTTATTTGTATCTTCAGAGCTAGCATAAATTATAAATTAACTGTTAAATAATTTAATCTTAACATATGAAAATGGCTGTACCTTCTGTTTCCACAAAAAGCTGGAAATTTCTTGACTAGCCGAGCAACTGTCATCGTCTCAAGAAAGACTTAGATGGAAAACAGAATTAATCGCTCTGAAACAGTTTTTGATGTGGACACCCAGTAATAAAATCCGTTCTATTGTTTCCCAGTTTGGGCCTATATATAAAACATGCCTACGAACATAACCTCACTTGTGTGCGTTCATTCCTTTCACTTTTCACTAAAGCGATTCTAAGGACGCGTGATTCTGTATCAGACAAAATCAGGATTCCAGCGGTGGTATTGTGACCTTCGTCGACCGGACAGTTTTCACCCTTTGAAGCACGAAGCTTCTGTAAATAATATTTAATAATAATTCAGTTCCTACCTCAAAGAAAACAATGCTTATCCAATACAATTACCAACAGGTTAATGCTTTCATTGAGAAACAATCGCTATTTATTGTGAGAATCATAGGAAGTTATCGATTGCACGAGTTATCGATTGTTAAAGAAAGTAGAATATATATGCAGTTATCATTGTCCTTGAAAGGATTAAGAACGTTGGCTAGTGCTTATCCACGAAACAGATTAGCTGTTGGGAGGATCTCACAAGGATTAAACAGCTTGAAATGTATTTAGAAACATGAAAGAAGTAACTGGGAAGAAATTGCGTATGTAAGAGTTTTAAGCGAATAAAAGAAGTACAAAGTGGTTTTGATTCTCGCATGACAGAGAGCGCTGGCCAGTGCAATGACTTTCGACTCGAACATTTCAACGAAAGAAGTTTAAGAATGTTCCCTCGCTACGCGAAAGAACGTGATGCCAGAATTAAAAGCGGACGCCCAAGCGAGAAAGACGAAGTTAGAAACAAGGAATTGTTCTTGGAACTGTGCAAGGACGGTGGACAGCGATATTCTCGATTTAGAATCCAAGAAGGCGAAAGAGGGATGATGTGGAGATAATTGGAAAAGAATTGGATGGAGACAGAGAGAGAGAGAGAGAGGCGTTGGAGAGCCGGTGGGTGGGGATAAGGAAGGCGTTGGAGTTGACACGAGCGGAGTTCGTTGTCTGTGTTCTTTTAATTGTAATGACAAAAGAAGTTTCTGGCGACCCGTAACAAGCCTCAAGACGAAATGTTCCGAAGCGAAACTACTGTTTCCGACTGTAATCTTGAGACTCGAAGGGAATTCCGAAGAGTTAAAGGATACTGCATACAGACACTATATTTCCTCCTTCACCCCACTTCCTCACCCCCTCAAGTCTCAAGATTACAGTCGCGAACAGTAGTTACTGTGGACACAGCTCACGACAGTCGTTTTACTCAAATACTCTCATCTGCGCAGAAGACTGGACGTCATCTACGTGTGTGGCCGGTCTGCCTCTTGGTCGCTGGGGACGTGGAGTCGAGACCCGATTCTGGCATTGTTGTTACCCGCGTCTTGTACTTAATCAGGGCGATCGAAAAGATAACAAGGGAGAAGGGAGGAAATTTAAAGAAAGACAAAGAGGTTAGGACGAATCGCTTCGTATTCGGGATACCCTGGGTTCTGATTTACGCTGTCCAAGGTTTTGTGGTTTGCCTCTCCCTCCATGCAAATTCCGAAACAGTCCCTTTAATTCGGCCACGACCACTTCCGTCCCTTATCCTTTCGCTTTTCATTCATAAATCGCCTTCACGAAGTGTTACACTGGAATGTGTCGTGACGAGATGCATTTCCCTGCTAAGTAGCCGAGGGTCGGTGGTAGATTCTGCGGACAGAAACGCCGATATCGGAACCAGGCGACAGCCTTCACCTACAAAGGAGGAAGATAATGGCTAAACACGACTGTGAAGGAAGTGCACTTGTGTTTTGCGCTGGAATGCGTCAGTGTTCGTGGTTGTTTGCTGCAGTATATGGTTCTCAACACTGCCGCAGATGGCAGTATCAGCAAGCTCCGATTCGGCGAGCATGCGCCCTGCAGCTACAGGATCGATCCAGTGCATTGCCTTGAGTACGCTGGCCGTTGTACCCGACTTCGAATCTGCTCCGGGTGATTCCGCCCTGTCCTGTGTAACAGCTGAGTGTCTGCGGGCGCGCCACTCAAAAATTTCAGCCGCGTGTTCTTGGTTTTCCTCAGTCGTTCTTTGACGAGTCCCTGACACTTCCTGCAACAGTACCAACTCAGTTAAGTTCTTCTACAAACGCTGATAGTCGCTCAGTGAATCAATAAATACCCTGCCTTTTGTGGAACCCGAACGTTCAATACCGCGTATGTAAGAACCCACCACTGGGTCCGATCCTGAATTACATAAATATGACGTTCTCCGTCCACTTTTATAGCATCCTTCCATCTACTCTTAGCTCTACCAGGTGACGTCTTCTCTTTAGGTTTTCTGACTAAAATGTTTGATGCATTTTAATCTAAACCCTTGCGTGCTGCATTACCCACGCACCTTATTATTATCCTTTTGTTTAGTCTGGTGATATTTTGTGAAGGGCACAGATTACGAAACTGCTCATTTGTCTCCCCCTCAGCCTCCCCCCCGCGGGTTCTCAAAGACTTTCAGGCCGTATTGTTCCTTGAGAACCAAAGACCACGTTTTATGCCCGTAATATTAATGCATTTAACGCAATGAAGATTAGTTCATCTGTTGTTTGGTAATCTCTGGTAACACGTGGAGACACCGAAGGGAATTGCTGAGAATTAATGGAAAGTTAGGTTAGGTAAAGTCTAGTGCTTGTTGGGGGTCCACAGTGTTGTACCGTGTTTTTTTCCAAGTAAAATAATTTTCGCTATTATTACGTTGTCATTTATGAGACTGATTTTTTTTACACAGACCTTTGGTTCATTTCTCTGTAATACGTCTAATTTATTTCGAAATGCCTTCTATTGTACCTTATACATCCATGGATTTCACCAACTCATGTAATTTCATACCAGGAGAAACTCATTTGCCAGCATCTTAAAATACCGGTACAGTAGTGGCCTTGCTACAGAAATGTGAATCTCATGTAAATTTTGACGAAATAATTACGCAGTCGCCTTGTTTTTTGAATGCATTTGGTCCAGTCGTCCATAAATTTACTGATTTTTTCATAATACAATGTTTAAGTTACTCATGCGTGGCTTATTTCTGTGATAATCATTTCAGTTGCCCTCTCCTGCCTTTCACGCATCCGGTCCGTCGCTTGATTTCGTGTTCAGTGCTTCATTCAAATTGTTCCGCCATTTTGTAACTCTCCTCTGGTTCAAATCTAAAAGTTCTTGACGATGGTGATGAGTCTTTTGAATAAAAATTTTCTTGGATATTATCCATCGTCTAATAAAATATAAAACGTAAAACGACGTTTCGGAGATGGGACTCTATCTCCGTCTTCAGGTTCCTACACAGTTGGGCCCACTAGATAGAACTAATCCCTATCTCCGGACCTAGATAGGGATTAGCTCTATCTAGTGGGCCCAACTGAGTAGGAACCTGAAGACGGAGATAGAGCCACATCTCCGAAACGTCGTTTTACGTTTTATATACTAGACGATGGATAATATCCAAGAAAATTTTTATTCAAATGACTCCTCTTGTTCATTCAATTATTGTCGTACTGAACTGTCATTCTTTCGTAAATTCCACTGTTTTCACCACTAAAATCGGATCACAGAATTTATTGTTTGTTGTTGCATTCTGTCACTGGAGCATCAATGTTAAGAACGTCACAGTATTATCATTACTTTAAAAAAACAATGTGAAGTAACGAGTTGTATGGGAAGGTCGAATAGTACCGGGCACCTAAGGATTTCGGGGCGAGGGGAGGAATGTGTAATTTGAAATTTAAAAATATTATTAATTTTTTTATAAATTTGAACCTTACCTTCGTGAAACATGTATTTTGAATTAAACAAGTTGTCAAAAAAGTAATGAAAAATGTGTTTAAAACATTGTTTACATTTTCAGCATTACAAAAATTGGCGTCTAGTATCGGACACTACTGTACTTATAATGTTTTCCTTAGTTTTGATAGAAAATTCCAGTCTTTGTGAATCTTAATGTCTTTTGTAGGAATCACTTTTGTAATATAACATATTTCTCTCATTATCGGCTCAGTTTTTATGCGCCCAACCACTACAAGAAAGACAATGCATCCAGTCCTAGTCAAAAATTTCTGAACAGATGATGCACGCTTTTGTATGGCTCCCTAGTTCTTCCTCCAACTCATGAGTGAAATTTCTCCGAAACCAACCAATGTCGGGTGTCATTTTCACCATTCCCCCTTCTTGCAATGTTCTTAGTCCATCTCCAAAAGAACTTTTGGGGACTGAAAAAGTATCTGCTGCTTCCCTTATCGACATCTCCTTACTCCTAACCTTTTTATTTATTTAGTGTTCTGTCTGACGACAGGTCCATATGAACAGGATCCTTCCATCCTTTTCTCGGACTGGGACCTGTTCATATACGTTCTTGGCAGAGATGATCCAGAAGTGGTTTGCCATTGCCTTCTTCTGTGTGTGAATGGAGTAATTGTTGGGATGCCACGGAGAAACCGGGGAAGCCCCCGGAGGAAAACTCCGTGTTGCCTAGACCACGGCCTTGCCCAACACAAGTTCCTAACCTTATCTATAGCAAATTTCATTTGATCTTCTGTAAATTGTCCCCGTTTCGTTTTTGCATTGGGCTCGCTGTTGTTCATTCTAATAGCAAATCTAATTTTAATGCATGAAACAAAATAAAGAAACACCAAAACCACTTACCTCTCCGATAGTAAAAAGAACAGAGTTTATATAATCATCAACGGTAAAAGAAAACAGAAGCCAAACAAATTGTATTATATTTGTTCTTAAATAATATTTTCGAGAATTGTTCTTTGTCCGGTACTACCAGAAACCACACTCTCCGATATTAGACGACAGACACGTAAAGAGAAAATGGCCGCTGCATATCCAGTGCTTACTGCTGGGAAAAAATCATTCTACACATACAGTCTGTAGTTGATACAACAAAAGTAAAATAGATTAAATAATTATTTTACTTACCAGAATTAGTTGATACGGCATTCCAAAAATAAACAACGTAGCTCAAAATTTATACAAATTGAAAGATTCACTCACAGCGGCTGACCGCCTCAATGGATTTACTCCAACTTAGGACTGTCGTCTGTGAAGGACAGAGACAAGACTCTGATACTTGAAAAGTGTCACTAACTAGCGACGTTTCGGAAGAGTAAGCACTGTCCGATAATGGACGCTGCCCGGTACTATGCGACCTTCCCCTAAATGCGATAATTATCGTATTATTTATATCTGCCATCTTTTTTTCAGTACTGCCAACATCGTTTTGGGGAATAATTAAAATCACCACTCATTTACTCTCACCCCAAGCGCCTGTACGGCACGTAGCGGGAAAAAACTTTACTTTACTTTAATCATTTACTCGCTATAGTATGCCGCATACATTTGACTTCATGTTTTAAAATCGTGACATTAATATTCATAAAGTCGCTCGGTGTAATCGTTCATGATATAAAGCCACTTTTTTTTGTGAACTTAGCGTCACTGTCTCGCGTACGTCAGTCCGTTATGTTTGGTTGAGTTACCTGTTGTTAACGTTGGACCCGTGTTAAAATGGCCATGCAGCGAGCGTATTGCTTCGTTACAGACCACGAATCGCGAATCTTCGCCCTGAGGACCGTTCATACATGTCACAGCCCTCGTAAGGACGTGTTTTCACGTCTGTAGGCCTATATACTCTGAATATTGCTTGTATCTGGTGGGTTCAAACACTGCCAGTGCCAAGACTGGCATCTGATACCACCGTTCTGGGCCACTTCCGCCAGCCTCCAGTCTTCGCAGTTTAATTCCACGAGATCTATCTTAATGTTATTCTCCCATCTCTTCTCTTTTTAAATTGAACGTTTTTTTCGAGAGGACATAATTAAAATTCTTAACGCTTTTAATTACGTTCCTGAAGGTTCATTGTCATCTATGCAGAAATATTTCCATTGAAGTGGTCTTTGACATAAGACAGCCCGTATTACCGCGCGTATTTCTGGGTCGTACGATACGTGGGACGAGGACAGCGAAAAATGAATCCAAAGGCACGGAAATGTGGGCACTGTAAAAGTAAACAATTGTAGTTAAGGGAACAATTTAGGAGCAGATCAGAGGCTTTGAGTGCAGAAGTAATTAGATATTTTAGAATATGATAGGGATTTAGGAAGACCACGAATGAGATGGCTTGAACAGTTTTTGCCGTTGTGTTTATCCTGCACCTTTGCAAGCAAGATCATCATCTCGTACTTGCAAGCCGCTGCTTTATGCGTCACTTCTCTTTCTCTGTATTTTACACGTGTTTTCCTTTTTCGCGTTTATTATGTTCTTCTTTCTCCCCGTACTTCTCCTCCTCGAACTCCTGGTCATTCTAGGTCAAACAACGGCTGCTACCCCTTCCACTACCGACATCCGGTGTTTCATCCCCCTTACTCCTCCCCACCGTTCGTATCTTCCCTCACCTATTGCACATGACGAAGGCCATTATAAAATAGTAAGGCTGTACCGTGGTAGTAATGTTGTGTCATGTTGCTCTTCACGAATTTAATAACTATTCGATTAAAACACAGTCTGATGCAACTAGTTAATGCTACTTAACGGTCTTCACTTAAGACGACTTGTTTCGGAAATTATATTTCCATCATCAGGTTAAATAAATAAATATTCGTAAGATCCTCTAAGTTGCAATGTCAATTAAAATCATTAAAAGACAAAATATATATAAAAAAGTTTTGCACACTAGAACAATTCTGTGGTAATAATAATTCGTATTTATGATCGTGCTTGTGTCATTGCCCGTGTATTTGAAGATTTGCAGTTTTTCAAAAGACCAGTTACAAGAAATTTCAAACATCAACCACGCGCGACAAATTCGTGGTTTGAGACGCCGGTGGTTGAACATCGGGACTCTCGTCGTCGGAATGGGAACAATGACTTTGTTGATGCCGGGTTTTGTGGTTCATTTGGTTTCCTTGGAAAAGGGAAGTCGAGGGCAGAAATTTGGACATGTCGCGCAATGCGGCGGGGATTTGGCACTGTGGCGGATCATTAGCCTTGTCCGGCAGTCGGTGATCTGACGTGAGGCGCCAGAGTAACGAGCGCTGCTTGCCAGAGGCTTTCCTTCTTTCTTTCTTTCTTTCTTTCTTTCCGTCGTCAGTCGCTCAATTCCTTCACGGTAAATGCCGTAGATTCGGATCAAGAAACTTTGACCCATGTCTGATTTATTTACGGTTTATTTAACGACGCTGTCAGTCGCTCATACAGCAAACCCCTCGTCCAACGCGGGGGATATGTCTCTCTCGAAAGCAGCGCGGTCGGTGAATCCGCGTTGGACGAATTTAATATGGTACGATATTAATGGGGATCGGGGAACGCGGCCGTGGAAAGACAAATTAAATAAACAAAAACTCGTTTTTACCGTGATGTATCGTCTGAACTGCAAGCGTTGAAGTAAAATAACAACTGAATGTCGGGCTAACTGCTGCTGCCCTCGTACCAAAGTGTAACTTATCCAGAATCTTTCTTTCCTCAACTAGTGTTATAACCTTACAACTTTTATTTATGTTTTTGTTCATAATGATGTCCAAGAGAAATATCATGATCAACGCACAACTTACGACAGAAGTTAACGCGGTAATAGAGTAAGCGGGACTCAGACAACGCGGGTTACGTAAAGTTTGAGGGACGTAGAGGAGTTGAAGGACGCGGGGGTGACATTCGAGTCTGAATATTTACACTCTTACAAACGCTGGATTAAACAAACCAAGTTGGTTGACCATATTCATAGTCAGAAGCGAAACCGTCTTCAAGTTTTTAAACGGACGAGACATTTTTTCGTATTCTGTTACATCGTATTTGACAGATGGCGTGTAATCAAATTTTTCGCGTTAAACAAATTTTCGTATTTATTTACCTGCGTTGGAGGAGGGTTTACGGAACAGCGTAGAATGACAGGAATTGTAAAGGGCGTGTTGGATAGCGATAGTGTAGTAATTTAAAGAATTTGTATGGAAAGACTGAGGAATACCACGAAAAATATTTTAGTACAGCCGACCTTCTGGCAGAGTTTTGAACCTGGGATTATATTTACCTTTTATCTTCCGTTTTATGTGCTTTGAGTTTCTTGCGTCTTCTATTGTCTTCTTTGGAAATGGGTTCTGCTGTGTCTTCTACATGGTGTCCCAGTAGTTCCTGTGTCCATGTGCCTGGCGTGCTTAAAAGAAATTTCGCCACGTGCTAAGATTCTCTCGTACTGATTCAGTCCTACAGAAATCGGACACATCAATCCATACAGGACCTCGCATTCGTCTTGGAGATCAAGAGTGTTTAATAAGCACCGCAGATTCGATAAATACAATATTTGAGTCACGTATTTAAACGCAAGTTTGGTCTTTTTCTGACTGTACGCACTCTCATTGAACGTACATTTATTAAAGCTTATAATATAACTTCTTATTCCACTGACTTTGCAAAGTTTTTTTTTGCGTGTTTTATTGCCGTCGGTGTGCCCCATTTATGACAACTTTCTGACCACTTAACCCATTTTAATGAAAAGAAGTTTGTGTGTAATGGCTTTCGGGACTGCCCATCCCTGTAGTAAATCTCTTTGTTGAAGCTGACACGCGAATTTCAGAAGCCTCTTCCGACCTCAAATAAACACGTCACAGTCGACCGAGGCTAAAACGCTTCTGACTTGTATTCGGCAGGTCCTCGGTTCGAATCTCTTCCGAGTGGTTAGCACTTCTGTTTCGTATCCTGGAAGTCCCGATTCGACACCGCGTAGTCTGAGCTGACTGCGTTTTTAAAGAAATCAAGCGTATATCGGGATTACTTGAAGTAGGCCACGATCGGTTCTTACCCGTACTTTCTCGATTCACAGAACGCGACCACCCTGTTACATCATTTGGCTCTAAACAACCCCTGCATTTCGCACAGCGTCGTTAAATATCCTGCTACCCATTCATCCTGTATACGCTTTTTTTAAGACTGCATTTTAGTATGCATTTTCTCTCTCTCTCTCTCTCCCCCTCCTATCAGGTCGCCATTTCCGATCTAATTTTTATTTGCACTTGTCATTTATAGCTTCCTGTTTTATTCAAGTCAGTGTAGCTGAAACATGGTTGTTAAACGTATAAGACTCCATCAACAGTAAGGAATTTCGTGGACAGATTGTTGGTGGCCGATGTTTTAAGTGTTGGATCAGTCCACCGTTAAGTTAGTAATTTAGGTTAAGTTAGGTTGGGTCAGAAGTGTCTGCGTACAAACAAAACGCCATAGCTCTGTTTGGTTCCCATCGTTCCGTTGCACACAATTTTAAACCATTCTATTTTAATTGAAGTCCAGTTAATGCATTTCTTCGCATTGCTAGCATCACGCAATTCTGACTATGTTAATTACATAGCACGCCTTCGTGAGTCCTTAAAAGAAACAGCCTCTGATACCGCCGAGCTACCTTGCCCTATAAATATTGCGTGTAACCCCTCCCATGCCCCGTTCCCCTCCTCAAGCCATCGGCCTTACATTTTCGCGCTGGTAGTCCATCGCTTCAGTAGCCATCTCGCGGCCGTTTGTATCGCAAGTGAAGTCGTGGTCCCGGTCTTGTTGTGACCGACGGCATGACACCGCGGGTCTGTGACGTCAGACCACGTCATCCGGAGTCCAACGATCTGACGCTGTTGGATTTGGTGGAGATGTTTTTGTCTTTTTAGATTGTTTTCTGTGTGTGATACCATAACCTCAGTTTGTCTCATGAGATATCGTAGTAAAACTACATCGCGTGTGTGGTTCATGACCAATTCCAAAGATTAATACTTTTTATAAGTCTTATAAACTACTCGTTCGTTTGATAGGTAAACTGATTTCTCTGCATCAATTCTGTATTGACTCCAGTCATCACATTTCTCCTTGGGAAGCTTGTAGTTGCTCAGAGGGTTAAGAAATCCTCCACCTTCTATTGAAATGAAAGGTTCATTACCGTGGACCCTTTCCTGAACCAAAAGAATTTAGTCCACAATCACGATCCCTATTCATTTTAATATTATCATTCTATCTACACCCAAGGATAGATCTTCCAGTCGGTCTCTTGACTTCGTTTTCCGACTAAAGGTTTGTAGGGTCTGTGGTCTGTCTGATGCGTGCTACATGATTCGCCTTTCTCGTAATCCGTGATGTGTTCGTCGTGTTGATATTGGATGAAAGTTTTGCAGGGGAAATGCAGAACTGGCTGTTTCAGGTAGGACGAAATATGGAGGTCGCTTTGAAGTGTGCGTGGCTGGGATGATTATAAGTAAGTAA